TTTTTAGCCCTCTAAGTAAGCATAAACCGTTTCATTCAGCGAGGCTGCACGTGCATCGGTTGTTCATGTAGGCTATCTCTCTGTTGATACTTTTTTTTTCCCTTTTTAGGAAACCAAGCAGAAAGAACAGTGATTACTCTAAACAAATACAATATAGAGGAACCTCCTGAAATGACAGGAAAGATACAAAATTATGTTTCATTTGCAGAACAGCCTGCACGTTTCCAATCCAATCATTCTGAGACATACAGCTGGTTTGAAATGACAGGCAGGCTTACGGTTGTTATGCTTGTAACTGGGATCTGCTATGTTGGTGCCATACAAATTCTCTATATACAGCAATTTCTGTATCTGTTATCACTAACAGTTTATTCAATTGATATGGAAAAAAAGAATCTCCTTTATGGAAAAAAAAAAGAAAAAAGAAGAGTATGTGTTCTGGATTACATTAAGAACAATAAGATACCTAATTTACAGCTATTTCACTTATGGAGAAAAAAACCCATGGAATTCCTGAGAATGCGTAAGTTTTCAGTAATGCCTGAAATATTTCAATAGACCTCTCATGATAAGTGAAATACTCTTTAAAATTCAACTTTCAGACCAATTGTTACCATGCAGACTCACAGTCGTTTTACAAATACTGTCTAATTACAAATGCATGTATCAAGCAAAAACCTCAAAACCAACACAAAAAAGGCAAAGAAATTTTATCCAACATACTTAGTAGATGTAGTAGACATATACATTGTTTCAGCAAAAATTGCTAAAAACTCAACTCCACACAGAGAAAAATGAAAACCTAACAGCTATCCCTGGAGCCTCTAAACAACTGAAAGTAAAATTTGTGCTTCTTAACAATAACGGGCTTCATAAAACGAAAGAAAAATGGACTACTGAGTGCAATCAGATTGCTCACACCATTTTAAGGATTTAATTGCAAATTACTGTATCATTGTTTAGTAGCAACAGCAGATAATTTTGCAAAAAATTTCACATGTTGACAAAGTTCCATTTCCCTTTTATACCCATACCCCACTCCACCCCGAGCCAAAGAGCTGAACTCCCGTACAATTAAAGCTATTGTCAGTCAAGATGCAATCATTCATGGTAACAGCAACGATACGGTGTGTAGATGATGATGATGATGATTTACAAGCCATTATAATGTGGCCCCCATCTTTTATTGATATGATCGAAAGTATGAGACACCCACTGCTGCTCAAGCACTTTGTATCTTTCCTTGCATATGTAGAGAGGTTTACCACGCCTGTAGGGAAAAAAGGAAAAAAAAAAATGGTTAATATGCCAAATAAATGGAAAACTGCTTCATTATATAATCAACACGTGATAGTCATACAGCTGTTTTCCCAGAGGAAGCGTGTATTTTTATTGGTGTGGGGCTTCTGGTTTTGCTTTTATTAAGATTAATAAGAGGGAGGAAGGGAAATCCCTCTTGGACAGCAAAACCCAGAAAACATCTCGTTCTCTCAGGTTTGTGCAGCTTGGAAGCTACACTCCTTTCCTACGCTGGAATCCAACTGCCTCATTTGATTAAAAGCCAGACTTTAGGAGAGAAGTGTTTCCCAGTGTAACACTCAGAATTGACCATCAGTGGAAATGGCAACAAAGGAATCTGCCCGTTGGATGACTGGTGTGGATAACTCAATGGGCATGGTTATACCACCCTTCAGAAGGGGAAAAGAAAAAAAAACAACTCAGTCCAACTTGCAGTAAATGGGGATTTTCCACTCAAGGCAGGTAGAGATGTATTTATTATTACCGGTTATTGCATGCATAACAGAGTCATCTACACAGAGCAGCAACAATGAGACACTTGTAATGAAAACATTACCTAAGATCTCTGTCCTCTTCACCATGTGCATCTAGATAAACAGAACCCCAAAGGCAGAAACGATGGCCTCGGATGATGATGATTACAGATGCATTAATCAAAAGAAATATTCCTGTCCCAGCTCCACAGTTTTGAGAATGCTGTAATATTATGGATGTAGAAAGGGAAGAATGCAATGATTCTGTTAGTGTCTGTCAACTATCTAATAAAAAAGATTTGAAAAATAGTAATTAGTTTTGCTTGAAATAACATACACACATGATTTCCTAAGAAAGAGTTTGACAAAGGACAGCCTGCCCCAAAATTCTCCAAGCAAACTAGAGCTCCATGTCTTCTGCTGCCATAACACTTGCATACAAAAATGGTTCCCTAACTCAGAAAAGAGCTATCATGTAAAAACAGAACTACCTAACAAAAATGCGCAAAAATATTTCAAATTTGTTGTTGTAGAGCAAACTGTACTGTACGACCAAACACTTTTCATAGATGGCAAGAGAAAGTATTCAGTAAAACTTAACATTACCTCTTTTATAACAGTCTCTACTGCTAACATTTGCCTTCTCTTTCCATGCTCACAGAGTTAGTCTATGCCTATCTAGTCTACAAATCTAATAAAAAATAATTTTTGATATTTCTTGCTTGCTTGAATATGCCATTCATCTCTAAAATGGCATGATCTATATTAATCGATTACTTATAACAGTTAAAAAACTTGCTCTTGCTATGCAGTTTTATTACAATTACAGACTATAATCTCATCAACTATAATAAAATATAGTAAATTTAGAGTTTTAATTACTTTTTTTTAGAACTTTCTGTTTTCATTAAGCTTGACACCTTAAATATTAACTGTTAATTCTATTTTTAATTTTTCCCACCCGTCCTTCTCCCACAATACTAGCAGTATGAGAGAGAAAGGTGAGTTCAAACAATTTCAAAAAGGTCCAAGATCCCTCTGAAAATTCTTTGGGTTTGATTTTATGTCCCATTTGTAAATATCTCCCCAACAAATTCTCCTCATAGTTTTGTAAAGCCCGTGCAGTTTGAGCCTCCTACTAAGTGTTCTATGGTAGGAAACGGAACAGGTGTCCAAGGCAGCCTTTATCATGGAGAGGAAACCAATACCAGATGCTGTCCAACTCGGGGTCCTGAAAGAACTTACATATAAGCTGACCAGAAAACTTTGCTGCTCAAGTACAGTCAAAGGCCTTAAAATGATGCTTATCTAGCTATAGTCTGTAGATTACTAGTAGACGGTCGGGTATATCAGAAAGTATTCTACAAAAGGAAAACCACCCACCCCATACATTGATGCTGTTATGTACGCAGAGAGCAAGGAAACAAAGCAGAGGGAAATTAAAATAATATACAAACAATCAGAATGTAGACAAATTTCAGTTCCTTATGAATCAAAACCACGTGTCAACATTAGACACAATGGCTTTGTAAGAGGTTCTCAAACCTCATTCAAAGATGAAATAGGCTCTGGGCTTAGAAAGGTGAATAAAATTGCTTCTCTAGAATCCAGTAAGTTCCAACTGTCAGAAATGAGCACTAAACATTATTAGTGGGGGTTGGACTACGTGACCTTTAAAGGTCCCTTCCAATCCAAACTAGTCTCTGTATGATTATATAAACACGTTTTGGAAAGAAAGTCACCCAAACTGAGCAATGGAGTTCAAAACTATGCATGAGCATGAGAATTAATTACAGAATTTGAATTAACTCTCTCTTACCAGTACACATTCACAGTAACTCTGTTGTTTGCAGCATAGTCCTTTCAAGCATACAAAAGTACCACAAACGAGACAAACAGCAGGATCTTTAGGAACCTTGGTACAAACAGTACAAGTCTTTCTGTGATAATACTGAAAAATGGTGTTGTAATTGTCAGGCAGCTGAAGGAGGCGTGGCAAGTCCCACTTAGGCTCCTGGATAAGCAAAGCCTACAAATAAGATAAGAACAATACATCAGTTCTCCACATTCATTTATGCACTTATATTTTCTAAGAAAAGAGACTACCAAAGAAAGGAAGCATGCAGTTTAAAAATCTCTCACTTCTGCATTTCACAAATTGAGAAGTCAAGTCACTTTGCAAGTCACCTGCCTCTGGGTGAACACCCTCCCCAACTGTGGTCACGTTTCATCTTCTGAAATGGGTGCAAAATAGGCATGAGCCTTTACCCAAGGACATTTTCTAAATCTGACACTTTTTAAGCACAAAAGTCTTCATAGCTAAAACAAGAGGATTAAGACTGATCTAAAGGGAGGACTCCCACTCACCACGCTGAGTTCTTCTGGCAACATCACCACACTGCTGCCAAACCCTGGCACTGACTACAAAAGCCATCTTCTAGCTGAAATTTAGACTAAAACTTTCAAAACCAGAGCTGAAGTTAGGCTCTGTAAATTATATTCGAAGACATCTGCCTGACGTCCAAAACTGTTGCACACATGAATTTTGAGGCCATTAGGAACTTGGCAGTACCCACAAATTGTTGCTCTTAAAAACACTGTCCAAGTCTATGTTTTGGGGTTTTTTGTTGTGCTTTATTTTTTTTTAGATGGTAATGTTTTCCTTCAACCTACTCATTTTTACTGGCTTTATAATTGATAGGCATACGAGTCAGATGAGATCTTTCTTGCAAGGTGTAGGATTTTTTGAGGAGTGCATGGCCTCAAAACCTAACTTGCAAAAAAAAAAAAAAATTAAAATTGCACTTGTAACCTGTTCCTTTTCAATCATGGAAAGAACGCTACCGGTTTCACTGCACTCTCTCTCAAATGCCTATCAGATTGGCAGCAACTCTACTTTGAGATTAATTGAGTACTCAAGTTTTCACTCACAATAGCCTAATTCATGCCTGCAAACATGCAAAGGCAGGTGCAGATCACATTGCAGAGTGGAGAACGCATCCAGCTTGCCTTTTTGACACCATAAACTTAGGAGAGGGGGGACTTGAATTGCTGAGATGCAGCTGCTTCATTAAATGATGCAATAATGCTGAAACATTTCCATTTCATAAATGATATTCCAATTACACTGATTCAAGTCTTGGTATTGTTTCTTTAACCTTCAGAGAAGATGTACCATCTTTTATCAGTCAATGATTAAACAGCTTTTATTCTTTTGATCTTTTTCAGTATTGCAACCAAAGATGCTGAAATATATCGATGTCTAACAGGCAAGAAAAAATTCCGGTAAGTATTTCTTTAAAACACAAAGTTTCTGTTCCATGCCCTTGACAGGCCTCAGGTGCAGAAGATACGGGTACACTTAGTATCATCTAAGGACAGTGTTTCTATTTTCTGTCTCCGGCAATCATAGAAAAAAAAAAAAGAAAAAAGGATAGGTTTTCTTACTCCTTTTTTTAGCCAATCCAACCTGCATCCACTAACTAATATTTCCGATTACAATTTCCCTGTCATTTACAAGTCAGGTTCTCAGATCCTTATCCAAAGCAACACTGTATGTGCACAGCAAATCAAGTAATAAATAGCTGCTTCCACATCAGCACTATATTTTTGGCAGAAGTAATTTTGCTACCTACCTTTACTTTATCTGGATGTCTGTCTGCAAACGAAGCCAACTCTGAGCACCACTGGGATATCATGTCAAATGCTGGCACTGGCCAATCGAGACAAGAGGCACTGGTGAACTGATGAGCCGATTGAAAAGGTGGGAGCAGACCCAGGCAGCTGGCAAGAACTGTGAATTCTTCAGCTTCCTTTTAGGTGTGAAACCAGAGAGGTTCAGATTAATACCTACACTCTCGATTTTTAAATACTTTATTAAAAACATATCTATTCCAACAGAAAAAGATGCTCTAGTACAACGATGCTAATAGTCATGTTCAGAGACACAGAAAAGCTCCCATTTTTTCCATATTACCTCAAAGTGGTTTCCCAAAATACAAAAAAAAAAAGGTCAGAAAAAACCCAAACAAAAACCCCAAAACCCCCACAAAACCCCATATTCAAAAAACACAAGCAAAAAAATAAAACCCCAAACTCCCCAGTAATCTTCTTCCTGTTTAGCACCCCAAACTGGCCTGTGGTTGTTTAGAGACGAGATGGTTTTGAGACAAAGAAACCAGGGAGCTGATCTGCAGCAAACTCTACTTAAATCAGCCATGGAACTTAAACGTAATTGTCCGCTGATGCAACACCTCTGAGAAGGAATTTTAAGGATTAACAGGTATTAAGCAAAATCAGGACTGAATTCCAGTCTGTGTGGAAATTACTCCATGTCTGCAAATCCCAGACAAGTTTTAAAAGTATGCTGGTATTTTATAAAACAGGCATCTATGACCTGATAAAATAAGTATCTATTTGCTGAATTTTAAGACTATAGTACCATTTTTTCAAGGAAACAATGCTGCAGAGCAATGCTATAAAATATGATTAAAAAATCCGATCTTAGGATAGAAAACGCATATCATGAAAAAGACACCTGAAAAGTCTAATTTTTGATCTCTAGCTTTTAAATGGAAACATTTGAGCATGCCGCTCTCAATCTGTACCTGGCAACTTGGTAAATCCCCTCCAAAAAGATGGTGTTGCAGAAGGCTTGTGATCCTGAGGAAAGGCAGGCAGAACTGCTGCAGATAGCGCTCGACAGAATCAGGATTTACCTGCCGGGGAAGGAAGCAATTACTCAGTTCTGCCCCAGATAAGCTGTCACCCAGGTAAGAAACTCCAACGTGAACCAAATGTTTTTCAAGCATGTTGTATAAAGCACTGCATCAATCACACTTTCCTAAGACCAGCATTTCACAAATAATCTGAAAAAATCCTGTGCGTTTTCTTCCCCCCTTGACAAATGCTTTTTCTACTTAAACCTTCAGTTTTCCAAATTTCTGAAAGGTCTTTCACACATATGAATAAACCCCACAATTGTAAGAAGTATTTGTCAATAACTTTCTCAACAAAGCACTGGCCATGTATGATATTAGTGAAAGAAAGATTTGCACAGGCAAACTGTCCCAAAGGGATGTGCTTTGATCTAGAAAATAGAGTTGTACTGCAGTCTTTAGCAAGATCAGAGAAAAATCATTACGGCAACGAGGCTGAAACGCTTGAATAAGAGACAGAAAGGGGACATGCTGGATAAATCCTCAAGAGCTTTGCCAATACCACTGTTAATTCTTCAGTCTCTCCTTCTTCATAGATCTTCCCCTTAGACAGCTCGGTGATCACGTGACCCAGCAAGACTTCCCAAGATTTTTCTCCACTGGGTGTATTCTGCAAATAAGAACGAAAGAAAACCAAAATGTACCGGTCATGAAAAGGAAAAAAAAGTTTCTGTAGAAGTAACAGCATGAAGTACATTTCTTTTTGATCAACACACAAATTTTGACCTAAAAAGGTACACATTGCTTTAAAAAAAAATATATGTAATTCTATGGAAAAGGAATGCATTTAGCTCATTGAATGAAATGTAAATTGCTACTTCAATTACATATGTTCTAAACTGAGTGTTATATGAAAACACTTCTATAATGTTGCAATTCCCATCTTTTTTCTGTAAGCATAAAAATGCTTGCTTTACAATTAGGAAGAATGACTTCATGGATATGTCGTGTTTTGACAGAATTTGAATTCTAATACAACTAATTTAAAAAAATTAGTAATGTTCTAATATGTACCAATCAGAATGAGTTACAAAATGCTTGCTATGTATTTTAATTTGAAATCAGTCTATCAGAAAGTGGAAAGTTGTGCTTGGGATGAACAATATCTACTACAGATGAGAAAAAATATTTAGTGGAAAGAATAAAGGGCTGCTTAGCTTCGTGCCATGGCATTTACACGTGAAGGCAGTGATTATAGAAAGCCATCAGAAATAGAAAGCAGTATTCCCATAAATATTTTTCTTCTAAGGCACAATAAATTCTATTCAGGAAAAATGACTGGATGTGAATTTTGAGATCTGTCAGTAAATCATCAGCATAACAATGAGGAAGTAGAACATTACTGGGGTTCTTGAAAAAAATGCCAAAGCATAGGTGAGATTAAATATATAAAGATTTCAGTACATAACAATGTATGCAATTCATCAGTTGGTTTCTTCAGTGCCTTTGGACATCCATTGTAATTGTTAGTTTGAGATGGGGTCTTCACCTCCCAGCATCAGGAAGGCAGACTTGCTGTCTGTGCTCATAGTCTAAGAGCCAGAAGGCAACACATATTTCAATCAGCAGTTACGACAAACCTTGTATCTACATTATTCCTGGAACTTTACTCCACAGGCACTTAAAGTGTGCTGCTTACAACAACATAAGACACCTTGCAAAGATAATGAGAGTGAAGGTGGGAATCAAAAGTAGAATATCCACCTCAGCCCTGCTGAGAAATTCAACTCTTAATGTTGTTTGATGATTCGGCATGAACACAGAGGAAAGATTTCAGCCCGTGTTTAACGTCTGGAATACTAAACTGAAATAGATTCACTTGGCATTACACAAAGACAAAAGTTAAGTAAGGTGTGATCTGTGCAGTAATCCCGGGATAAAAATGTCCATATTATCAGCACATAAGAAAAATCCAGCCTGAACCACACATTTTAAACCATTTGGACCTCAAGAAACTTTAAAGAAAGAACTCGGATTCCTAAACTTCCCTTGTGATGGGCAAAGAGAAAGAAGTCATCTCAGGACTGTGGCCAGGTTCAAGAAGAGAAGGGCTGCCAAAGGGCTGGGAGAAAGGAACAAGGAGCTGGGCAATGACCACTGGCAGATCCTCAGTGCTCAGAGGTCTCTTGCACACACACGGTGTCCAGGCAGCAACGTTATGCAGGAGAAACAGCAGGAAACTGGAAGGGCATCTGGGGAAGGGCAAACTTGCATGTGGGACTTTTGCAAAGCATGTGTAGTTGGGGTGGATTGTCACTGGGGAGGGATGGAAGCCAAGAAGGAACTAAGCGTAGGAGTCCCTGAGGATCCCACAGAGCTCACCCTGAGCGTGTACTGCCAGGCTGCTGTCAGAAGCTGGACCTCTGCACACAGCTGATCTACACGAGACAGGAGGAGGATGTTTTCAAGGGAGAGCGATACTGTCAGCACAGCACATAGGCAGTGTTCATATCTACCCTTCTACTTCTTTTGTTCTCCCACTTGGAAAACTGTCGGCTTGCAATGGGCTCCTCACAGAAGAAAAGTCAAAACTCTCAAATTGACAGAAGTTAATCCATTGTGTTATTTGAATTCTACTAAATCACAACATCCATTCACAGTAACATACTGTTTAATGTATTACTATTTCCCACTTGGCCTTATAATCCATCAAAGACAAGCACACTAGTGAGAATTCCACTAAAATGGACTGTCCTTAATATCAAGAGAGAGATGGCTACTTCATAAATCCATCATCTGAGCCATTATCATAATTTGCAAGCCCCAGGTACAAAGTGCTTTATGCGAAGCAAATGCTTTCACATGCTTCTGTAAGAAAACACCTTAGTATTAATAGGTAGCAAGCCCACCTACAACGTGCTCTAAGTCTGCCTTCATACAATAAAATCTCTCACTGCAGACGGAAAATGAAGCATTGTAAATATATGCTCAGGTAAACTCCAACCTCTGCTATCAAGAGAAAGGCAGTATAGAAAGAATATAAGGTGGTAACACTTCAATCTATTTATATGCTTTCTACCGCAACCTTTAAACTGCAAAATTATCTATCACTTGGGAATTACGTCAGTAAAGAGAAAAATGGAAAAAAACCCCTCACCAGCAACACTCTTGAAATTCTAAGAAAATGACAATAAATTGGAAGAAGTGGGTGGAGAGAGAACTAACAAAATGCAGTAGGGCCCAGTGATCTCAGATGCTTAATCCAAGTCCAGGGAAAAAAAAATAAGTCCTGCATAGTACAGCTTGGCCAGTAGATAATTTGTCCTTAATACCTTGGAGCTGCGACTGACCACTATGACGAATGGAAATTAGATGTGAAAAGCAGGCCATGCTTCTCAGCGTGCACGCCGTTCTACAGCCAACGCACTCTGAGGCCCAGCTGTAGCATAAAGGGGGATTCCTACTCCCTCTTCCTCCCCTGGCCCCAACACTCCCGTCCTTTCCCGTGGTCTGGCACCGGCACTCCTCCGACCTTCGGGGGAATCAAATCAAACACAAAGTGAGCTGAAGGATTAAGTGGATGGCAGTGAAGGGAACTGCATCTTGTGGTGGGAACTGCCTTTCAATCAGCTGAACTCAAACAGCAAGATGCACCTTCGCTTTACTTGTAAATACTTTCAAAAAGCAAGGAAACGACAGTGAATTATCTACCTGCCTGGTCTACAAATTTCCTTCTCTGCCTCTTCATCACATGAGCACTCTAGGCCACATTTTGAGAGAAATTTATATGGCCAGCCACGAATAGCATGAACAAATAAGAGAAAGACAGTGGTGGTTTTTTTCCCTCACCACCAAGTTTTCCTGCTTTTCCTGTAAAGGAAGGAAAGCTGCATTTACTCAATCTCACTGCAACAAATTCAAGACTGAAACTACAGAGATACAGCCTCAAATCTGGAGCTCAGTTTTGGAACTAGATATTAACTGTGAAGCTTCTAAGTCTCATCACATACCAAACCCTGTAAAAATTGCACATGCAGAAACAAAATGCAGGATTTTTGTGAAGCAGAAGCAAACCATTATACGCAAAGTAGAAGCATCTTTTATATTTCCACCAGAAACACATAAGCAAAAATTCATAAATGTTTTAATAAATTAACCAACCTTTTTGAGAGCTTCTGACTCTTTCCATGCCATCCGATCTTCAGCGCTGCACTTAACAGAAAGTGCTGCCAAGGCTTGAGTATACAATAAAGTGAACAGCACTTTTACAATGCAGGTGAAGTGCTCTGTAAAACAAAGAAAGTAATTTTTAAACACTTGGTATTTTTAGCAAATACACTCATTACAGAGTCTCTAGTTACGGAAATGATGCTTCTCAAATGAAAAGCAAGTGCTATACAAAAGTACAAACTCCCAGAACATACAAAACAACATAAATATATTTGCTGGCTTTCAAAAATGGCTTGGCAGCCATAGTGAATAGAACAACTACAGGGCAAGTAGTTTTCCACTACTCCTTATGTTCCTCTTAATCCTGATCAGCAGTGACTCCCTCCACGGGACCTGGCAATATTACAAAATTCTATTTCATCCAAACATACCATTAAGTTAAGCTACTGATTACTGATAGCTACAACTAATTCTGTGCTGTAGATGTAAGCAAATGCATATCCTACCAGCTCTTCTGGCAATAATTAAATGATCTGAGGTAAGTGACATTCATACAAATACTGGAAAAGTTAAGTTCCAAAAGAAGGACATTTTGCATATGTTTGTTTCTATTCCTTCGCTTCCAGCTATGGATCCAGCCACACAAGACTTGCTGCAGATCACTCTTTAGTGAGTACCTATTTACTGGACCTCACGTGAATACAGGAGGAGGACAAAAGACAGACCACCATTTTAGATCTTACCTTCTGCTGAAAGACCTTGATGTGTTTACAATTTTTTGGTAATATTTAAAGGACTATTATCTCCTACATACAGGCTGCAGGAGAAAGGCTTTGAAA